GCCTCCCTGTGCTTATCGTTAACTACTGTTGAAAATTTCGATTTTTGAAGTTATGTCTCTTTCATTTGATGTTGGAGTTTCACCGTAGTACAATTTCTAACTCAGTTATGTGCTTTTATTAATTTTTAGTGTTTTATTATGCTCTATAATCACATTGACCATATGCTGCATAATCTTTAATGTTTGACACAGGCGTGTGCAGAAATATCTTTGATTCAGTTGCAGAACAAGTCGAAATGCGGAATAAGAAAGATCGCAAAAATAATCCGAGCCGAAACGCTGGAGAAGTTGGTGGAGTAGCACATCAGAGGAACACCTTAGCCGTAAAAGCTGAAGCTGCCATTGCTGATCAGCTTCTTCCAGGTATATCTGTGGTTGTAAAGGCTTAAGTGTTTTTGCCCTACACAGTTCTTTTGAAGGAAGCAAACAGATGGTATCTACCTATGAGGATATCATTCATAATGTCTCTGTAAAATTCGAATTTTTTTAAACAAACTTGGTGATTTAAGTTTCTTTCCTCATGCCACATCGTATATAGGTCCTTTAACATTTCTGCTTGAAATCCGATTCAAGTAGGTAATAAAGGTAGTTGAGTCGTTTAGTTTTTAACAGTTTTCAAAAATTTTGGAGGACGACATCCATGCAAGTGTCAAGCACGCATCCATCCTCTGGTGAGGAACTGCATGGGTTGCGGCAAAATTGTGTGTGTCCAAGAGGGGAGCGGGCCATGCTTCTTTTGTGGAACCCTCGTTTGCACTAAAGAAGAAAGAGAGGTGAATTTTATAGAATTTTCTTGAATTCAGAAGGTTTATTTGTAGCTTTGTTTGCGCGAAATCAGTTGCCAGGTGGAATCATTCCAATAATTGCTGCAGGCATTAAGCTTTCGCTATAGTCTTTTATAATATTTTCCCTTCGCTATATTTCGATACACATTTTGAATTGCAAGGGCAGTTCCATTGAACAAATATGGTGTATAAATGCTCACTTTCTCATTAATTCGCTTTAGTCATCTCATCTTTTGGTCATTTCATGCACTGTTAAGCATTTGTCTGGCTTATTTTATCTATTGAATCGTTTAGATTCTAGAACGGGGCTCTCGCAAAAGTGCCGAACTCTATAATCAGTTGATGGGAACGAAGAAGGATGGTCACGCTAAAGATTTTTCTTTATCTACAATCGGTGCGGAATTTCAAAAAGCCACTCAATTTCGAAACAAACTTCTTGCAGCGGATGCGGATTCGTGAGTTTTTAAGCATAAGTCATTTTGCGAGAATCGCCAGTCATTGTGTGCATGTATCCTCGTCGACTGTATTTTGTAGGGCGTCATTCCACTATAAGTATAATACATAATCATAAAGGGAATGTATAGGCAAATAAGGATTTTGAGTCCTCATTGGATTCTGATGTCCGCTTTTAGCTATGCTACTTCTGCCCTGATAAGGAAAATCACTGAGGACATTTCAATTAGCCCACATCCTCAGCGATCCCCCTTCGTCGTTTACTGTGTTGGGCTTCTGGCAGTGTTTCATAGCGAGAAAGGCATGCAATCGTCTCCGAACAGCTTAAGATTGCTCCGCTGTAATTCGTCTGGTCAATTTTAAAGAACCCGAACGCCATCTAAACCTAAGGGCATCTCTATACCTCATAAGGATCTGTCGATTTAGACCGGCCGACCCTTATAATGC